GGTGTTGGAGGTGAGATGGCTCACAAGAACAGCTGTATCCACTGAAATATATTGCTGAGGGGAGCAGTGGGTGAGACAGGAGCAGTCTGCTGTGCCATGTGGGTCAGCTCCCTTTTTTTTTTGTGGGGGGATCCTCACCCTCTATTGCACCCAATTTGGGGGGCAGGAAAGAAGGTCAGAGATGGCGAATATGGAAGGGGGTTGAACCCAGGCCACTGTGGTGATAGCAGTGAGACCCAACCTCCAGGCTACCAAGGGAGCTCCCGTCATCTCCTTATTTCATGCATGCAGTATTAAAAATAAAATTGTTCTGAAGAAAGTAGTGCCAGTTTGGAAAAAAGTAAAAGCAAAGGTGAATAAATAAAAAAGATTCACTATATGGGCCACATGTAGTACTGTAAACCAATGTTACTGAAGAGGGAAAAAAATACAATAAAAAGAGAAAAAAGAAAAAATCCCACCAACAAAAACAAATGAAAACTAAAAAGTGGAGAAGAAAAAGAGCAAAATGGGAAAAACTAAAATGTTGGCACAGGAACGTTGTCGCTGCTTTGCGGCGGGAGCGCCCTGAGGGACAAGCAGTGGTGGAGCGGTGTGAGGCAGGACTCTGCCGCTCGGGCACGAGCCCTTGCGCCATTTGCTGAAATCACACGGGCTAGTAGAGGCTGATCATGCGACGGTTGGATGAGGACTAGGGTCCGGAGAGCGGGATAGGAATGGAGGACAAAGTTTTACGAGGGACAGGGAAGGGGACACACGGTGACCAGGCGGCAAGGGCCATCTGCATCAGCAAAGTGTGTGTTATCGCAGGCAGAGTTCTCCCCAGACCGCCAAGGAGATAGTCAAGTCATCAGGGCAACCGCGGCCTCAGCACCAGCAGACCTGCCTCGAGATACGTGCTACGCTCTGCAGGTCTTCAAGGAATGTTCTGCTGAGATTTGTAGATAACAGAGTGGTCACCGTTGCCCATGAGTGGCCAGCTCATAGGAATCACACTAAAACAAAAAAGCAGTGACAGTTTTAAGTCTGTTCCATTCTCCATTCATCATCTCTACTTTAAACCACTTCATGCGGTTGCTTTCAGATTTTCGTAGAAGACCTTTCCTCGAATGCCGGCACCCTCCTGCTGTGCCACACCTGAGAGGGCCGCTGAGAACCCAGGTACTCTGCGTGAAGGGGGCCCCCTGGCTGTGTTTCCATTATGTGGCCAGCTGTTTCCTCAGGGACTTGCTAGTGTCCATGCTTTTAGGTTTTTAATTTGGGGTCTGTCTGATTCTACTGAGAAGTTGCTTCCAAACTCTTGCAGAGAGAACATTCTGGCTTCCAGAATTCTTAAGAAAAGTAAGATAAATAAATAGAAGGAAGAACATATTCTATTAGACATGGAAATGTGTTAAAATAAACTATGTTGATGAGAGTGGTAGGGTCAGACAGATCGGCTACCCATAGAGTAGGATTATGGGAAGCTCAGAAACAGACTGTTTTATGTATTAAAATGGAGTATGTGGTCAAGTTGATGTCAGAAATTAGTGTAGGAGGACCGGTCTGTAAGTCTCGTTGGTGTCATTAGTCATGGGGGGATGTTAGCCCTCACCTTTCATCATACTCAAATTAACTGTCCACTCTTTCATTTTATTTGCCTTCCGTTATGGATAAGACAAGTTAAAGAGTTAAATGTAGAAGATGAAAAATGATCTCAGAAAGGGGGAAGAATTTAAGTGTACAATTATTGGAAACAACTGAAATTAAGCAAGCCGAAAATATATGGCGTTTAAAATTGAAATTAAAAAGGACAAAGTAACACACGAGGAAAAAAATTAGAAACAACGATTCCCTATACAGTTGATGTCCTCTCTCCATGACAAACTTATTCAAATTAATCAGAAAACACCAAAACCCGAGGGGGAAAATGGGCCACAAAGATTCACAGCAGAGGCACGAGCCCTGAGGAAGCTGTTGGAAAGCCGAGCCTCGCTGGTCATCGGGGCTCATGGACAGAAAGGCAAGGCCATATATTTTTGGCTTGCTTAATAATTAATAAACAAAGTTTTTAAACAATACTAGTGTGGGTGCCAAAAAGTGTGTTCACCTCAGGCAGTGCTGTTGAACACACAAGTAATTTTTTTCTGGAAAGAAGCCTGCAGTTTACACGAAAACCACTCTGACCACTGAGGACATATTGAACCCCTTTGGTCTCCAGGGCCGTGCTGGGGTGGCAGAGCTGTTCCCTGCCAGGGGTGCTCTTCACCATCTCTTCCCTGGAACATTTTTCCTCCTTCCAGGTTCTGAAGTGTACCCCTCTAGCCAGGTTTCCAGCCTAGTCTGGGCTGGGCCCTCTTCTGGAGTCTTACCTAGCAAGGGGCAGGAGCCAGTCGGGGGAGCAAGGCTGAGGGCCTTGGTGCCCAGTTTGTGAACTTTTACTCGCTTCCTCTGTGTTCTTTGCAGCTTCCCACCCTAACTCTGCAGTGTTTCCCATCCACCTGTTTTTCCCTTGGCAGAGAATAAGCTTCCACCCCATCCCGGGGCGGGGAGGTGGTCACCTCCATGCTCAGAATGGTCAGCTGTGCTGGTTTTAGCTCCACCATCTCTCCCACCCCCGGAGCTAACTGGTGCCTCTGTTTCTTGTCATTTTTTGCTTTTGCCATTTCTGAATAACCCACAATGAGTTACTTTCACAATCAGGAAAAAGTCCCTAACTTTTTAAAGTTTCATACCTCTTGACCCAGTAATTTTACTTCTTGGGAAATCCTTAAGGAAATAGGCAATTTGAAAAATATTTATATATAGCTATCTACATCACAGTACAATTTATGATAGAAGACAATTAGCTGCAAATAATCAAAAGTTTATTATTGGGGCTTATGTGGATAATGATAAAGTCACCAAGTGATATTTCCAAAAATACTTGACATGGGGAAAAGGCTTATGACTTAATATAAAACGAATAAAGCAGAAGACAAAATTATAGGTACACCTTTACTCAGATTTTATTTAAAAATGCACATGGAAGAAACTGGGATGTCTTCTGAATATTTACAGTGGTTACCCCGAATGATAGTGTCGTATTGGCTATAATAATTATTTACTACTATTATAATTTGAAAAAAAATTCTACATATGGAAAGAAGAATGTAGAGAAGTTAATGCAATTCTAGGTTATGTTAATAGAAGTTTCAAGACAAGAGGTTGCTGATCTCATGGAGTCTGATATCTAGGATCTCCAGGGGAGGTTGGCATATGTTGAGAGGAAAATAGACAAACCTCAGGTTGGTTAGTGCTTTCTGGAAGTCAGAATGGAAAGGAGGAATGGAACAGCTGGCTCGGGACCGACCTGGTGGCTATTTTCTTGGGTCTGCTCTGCTTGTTGTTGACAGAATTGTTGAACCTTGTGTGGCCTTTGGGGGCAGAATCAGGGCTGGTAGAAGAACAGCTGTTAAGATGGAGAAAGGAGTCCCAGCAGTCCTGCGATAGATATCTCTTTCTGTAGATGTCAGTGGTGGTGCTGAAGCTGGTGTGGAAAGGAAATGCAGGCTCCTTAGACAAGGCACTAGAGGTCAGTGGTGGAATGGGGTTAGCAGCCCGATGACCAATGAGCCAGCATGTTAGATGGGGAAGAAGTTTTGATATCATCCGCGCAGAGAGCTCTGTTTATGTATAGTCTGTGACGTTCACATGCTCCCATAAATCACAGATAAGATGACCTTGGGTTCTGCAAAGTTTCCAGTGTACTCCACATAACCTCATCTCTTTCTTTCCTATTCAGGAAGGCAATGTGAACTCAAATGACTGGATTTGATCTTACTGTAATAATCTTGAATGTTTTGATGCATGAAAAATAGTAGAGTATGAACTGCAGGGCAAGTGATGTTATTCCCAGCAACATTCCCCACACCTCGTCACCACATGCCTGTTCTCATCCAACCCTTTCATTTCACAGTGGGGAAACTGAGGAAAGGATTATGTCAAGTGAGTGTGAGACAGATTAAATCTCCTGGCTTTCTGTGGCTGAGAGTTGCCTGTTAACAGCTTAGTTTTTCATGGAGTTGAGGGATAGGCTAGAGGAAGAAAAAAGGTGGAGAAAGAAGTGAGATGCGAATCTGTGTGTTCTAATCAGGCTGCATCACTAAGGAGACCCCCCCGTCCAATGTATACTTAGCGTTCTGCTGGGCCTCTCCCCAGCAGTGCTGGGAGGTGAGGTGGTGCCAGTGGGGTTGGCACACCCCAGGAATGCTGAAGTCCTAACTCTCAGTGCCTCCAAATGTGACCTAAGTTTGAAATAGACTTCAGAGGTAATCAGTTGTTAGGGTAGGCCTAATCCAATACGACTGTGTCCTTTTAAAAGACATGAGGAAGAGCCATCCCTGCACACAGGGGAACCTATGAGAAGGTGCAGGCAGGGGTAGTGGAGACGCAGATGCCTCTCTTAAGGACGCTGCATTGCTGGCCGCCCCCCGGCCCCCAGGAAAGGCAGGAGCAGATTCTCCCTCCCAACCCTCAGAGGGAACCTGCCCCATCCACTTTGCACTTGCAGCCCAGAGCAACGGCGAGAACAGACTCCAGGCCTTGAAGCCGCACAGGCTGGCGCACTGTTTCGACCACCTCCTAGGAAGTGAGCTCCAGTCACACTTCCTTGCCCACCGCTATGCCCTTCCACGCCCTTCCCGCCCCAGGCTGGTACTCCCATCCCCACTACACTGTCCTTGCTCCACTCTTGCCCTGGTGTTTGTGAAGTACCAGCCTATGGCCCAACCCCATCCTCGCCAGAGGTCTAGTCCCTGCTCCAAACCCCAGGTGTCCGAGGCATTTCTGAAGGCAGCGTGTTTAAGATTGGGGCTGCTGGGGGCAGCATGGAGGAATCAGTGGGTTTCAAGTGCGGGTGGCAGCTGGGTTACTGAGACCAAAGACAGGTTGTGTGGGGGCCAAAGGGAGGCCCCAGCAGAACCAGGGGCGCCCTCCCCCAGCACGAGCTGAGACAGCATCAGTACACACCTAAGGGTGATTAAGTTCCTGTTTATTTTAGAAGCATAAACAGCGGAACTATGAAAGAGGGAGGAGATCAGACCCCAAGGAGATCGGAGATCAAGGGCCCTTACAGGCCAGGGCCGGCGCAGGCTGTCTGTCTGCCATCAAGGCTGGCCCTGCAGCCTCTACCTGCCTTTCCCTGTGAGGACAGGTTGTGAGGGCGATCAAGGAAGAGGTGGATGGGCCACGAGGTGAGGTGGGGGAAAGTGGCTCCAGGTCTCTCTGAACCAGTAAAAAAGGCAGGCAGACCCACGACACCCTTGGCCAGGAGCACCTCAAGCTGGCTCTGTGCTCGGGGCAAAGCCACCCCATGAAGGGGAACCATAGTGCCCTCTGGTCACCAGGAAGGCACAAGGCTTTCCAAGAACCACTTGGCCCCTTGGCCAGCCAGCACCTGCTTTCGTCAGGCACTGCCTTTGTCAGGCCCAGTCATCCCTGCACAGATTTCTAGAAGGGGCATCCCAGGCAGCTAGACTTCTAGGACCTCTATACATACTGCTTCTTGGAAGCAGAGCTGCTGGGGCGACTGGGGGATTTCTGGTCACCCTGAGGGCGTGAGTCTGGGAAGAGGGGGGGCCTGGAAGAAGCCAGCCTCTCCTCCGTAGTCAGATTGGCCCAGTTCTGCTCACTGGACGAGAGCCCATTGTAGGTGGGGCACGGTGGGGACGAGGGCTCTTCGCCCATGGGGAGGTAGAAGAAGACCTGGTCAGCGTAAGGCTCTGCAGAGGCACCCTGTGCCGGGGGGGGCTCCTGGCTCTGCCGCTCCCTGATCCCCCGGCTCAGGCACCGACCCAGCAGGTGCACCAGCTCCAGCAGGTTGAGCACCAGGGAGATGAGTCCGACCACCAGCATGAAGATGATGAAGATGGTCTTCTCTGTGGGGCGTGAGACATAGCAGTCCACCAGGTTGGGGCAGGGCGGCCGCTTGCACACGAACAGGGGCTCCATGTTCCAGCCGTAGAGATGCCACTGGCCGTACAGGAAGCCCGCCTCTAGCACGCTCTTGCAGAGCACACTGGTGACGTAGGTGCCCATCAGCGCCCCTCGAATCCGCAGGCGGCCATCCTCCGCCACGGAGATCTTGGCCATCTGCCGCTCCACGGCAGCCAGGGCCCGCTCCATGCGGGGGTCCTTGGCTGGCAGAGCCCGAAGTTCCTTCTCCTTCTGCCGCAGCCGCTCCTCCCGCCGAGACAGGTAAATGACATGGCCCAGGTAGACCAGGGTGGGCGTGCTGACAAAGAGGAACTGTAGCACCCAGTAGCGGATGTGGGAGATGGGGAAGGCCAGGTCATAGCAGACGTTGGTGCAGCCTGGCTGGGCCGTGTTGCACTCGAAATCGGACTGCTCGTCACCCCACACGGACTCGCCTGCCAGGCCCAGGATGAGGATGCGGAAGACGAAGAGCACGGTCAGCCAGATCTTGCCCACCACGGTGGAGTGCTCCTGGACCTGGTCCAGCAGCTTCTCAAGGAAGCCCCAGTCCCCCATGACTCCTGGGCCTCCGCCTGCAGGGAGACAGGGGCACTGTCAGCTGCGCCCTTCTCAACATGTGTTAGCAAATGCCTGCGGGAGGGCGGCCATGCCCATCTCACCCACCGGGAAACTGAGGCGCCAAAGGGGAAGGGACTGGCCTCAGGGCTCACACCCAGCAGGGTGGTCGGGACTAGAAGCTGGGCGTTGGCTCCTAAGCTCTGGCAGTGGCAAGATGAGACCCCTGTGGGTCACGCTTGTGCCCTTTGTGCTCCCAGCTGGAGCGTCAGGTGGCAGCAGCCGCGGACTCTGCAGCCAGGGGAGGCTTCTATGCCGGCGGGAGCAGAACCTTAGGAACTCAGCCCAGGTCACACAGCTGGGCCCGGCCTCCCACCTCCCTCTGCCCTGGGTGGGCTGTGCCCAGGCCTTGGGGCTGGGGCCGTGCTATCCTCAGCTCTTCAGGAGCCCAAGGCTCAGGCCTCTGGCCCGCCACATGCTATGTCACACATGGGCCCCATGGCGGTGGAAGGTGGGCGGGGAGGCAGCAGAAGCTGACAGCAGGTGGCTTCCTGCATTATTAGCTCCACCTGTCAGCAATAAGTACCACCTGCAATCCAGTGTAGCTGGGGTCCTGTTCCCTTCCGCCATCCTCCCCACTCCGGCTGCTCAAGCAGTTGCTCCCAAATTCTAGACTCCTAAGCTGGCTGGAGACACAGATCACTAAGCATCCAGGTCACGGAGGTGGGGGTGCTGGGGGGATCTAAAGCCTGAGGATGTGAAGGGAGAGGGGAAGCAAAGCTATTTGGAACCAGGGTCTGGAAGCAGATCTGGGTTCAAATCCTGCCCTCTTACTAACTGGGACCTTGGCTAGATGATGACTTCTTAGTGCCTTAGCCGCTCTGCTGTGAAGTGGAAGCAGTATTCCCAGCTCGCCCTGTAAAGGGTCCGAGAGGCTCAGCAGAGCCTGGCCAGGGGCAGCTGGGGGCAGCGGCTGTGGTCCCCTCCAGCTACCCTCTGCCCCCGGCGGGCGGCCTGTGGCAGTCCGTGTCCTCGCCTAGTCCGCGGCAGAGGGCGCCCCGAGGCTCCCCAAGCTCACCTCTTGCCTGTGGGCCGGTCCAGGCAGCGGTGTGGACTCGCGACCCGACGCGGCAGCCCGGCGCCCGCGGGAGCCCTGCTGGTCTGCGCCTGGCTGCAGGGGCGCCTTAAATAGCGGCAGGGCGGGGTGGGGGCAGGAAACGAGGGAGGGAGGGCAGCCGGGAACTTCGGGAGCTTTCCAGAGAGGGGGCGGGACGGACGCGGGGTGCGGAGGTGGCACCGGGAATGGGGGTGCAGGGACCCTGGGCCCCGACCTTCCCCTCTGCTCGCAGCGGGGCCACTCTCTAGTCTCCGTGTCTTTGGTGGTGAAACCGGAGTTCTCCAAAGACAGATTTCAAGGATGGCGGGCTTTGAAAGGATGACATAGGGCAAGAATTTGCAGATCCCAGAACTGGTCTGAGAGGCTGGGAGAGGCTGGCAGAGGGGGATTAGGGTGTGAAGCCTCAGGGGAGCACCTTCCCTTGACCCTGGCCGCCTATTCCTGGGAGGGAGTGGAAGGGGGTGTGGAAAGTGCAATCAAAGTCACCAAGCACCTGTGTGTGTGTGTGTGTGGGGGGGGAGAAGGGACTCTCATGCCATTAAGAGGTGGTGTTGGGGGTATCATAAGGAAGGAAAGAGGTGGTCCAAACCCCCCACCTTTCATTCAGACATCACCCCGTGTGTGTGTGTGGGTGGGGGTGTGGGGGGGGGTTGGGGGGTGGGCTGGGGGCTAGGGACTCCACCATAACCCAGCTGCGTGTCTCTGGCTCTCACTGACTGGTGCAGGAAGCAGGACTAGAACATATTGACCCTTGGGTTATAGCAAAACTATAAATGTGGACTTTCACCCGATTAGTCCAGGGAGGTTTATAGGGGACTTGGTCAGCAGTGTTTCCTGGAGGAGACTCATTAGCCAGGTGGAGGGGGAAGAACATTCTAGGAATAGCACAGGCAAGGCCGGAGACCAGGGACAGTAAGGTGTGGGGGCCCTGACCAGAGCGCAGGCTGCTGACAGCCCAGGCTGCAGGCAGGAGCAGCAGAGCTGAAGGGGAGGCCGCTGTGCCCTCAGGCTAGCAGCCTAAGCCCTGCACCTCAGTTTCTTCCTCTAGAGTGGGGATAGTGATAGCTTCTACTATGCAGGGTCATGGGAGATGCAATCAAAGCCCAGAAGGTTTTCAGGTGATTGGTGGCGAAAGCTGTGGCAAGAAAGGCATGTGGGTTTCTGTTAGGAGCAGAAAGGACTGAGGGGGAGGCCGCTGAAGAAGGGGTGGAAGGTGGGGCCAGGGGCTGTTGGCAGAAAGCTCCCTGTTTGTCCACAACAGGAGTCAGTCCTCGGACCCGCAGGATCCTCAAGGGTCCTGCCGTCCTGGCCGGAGACTTCTGGGCAGCCAGTGTGGGTGGGCTCAGCTGGGAGCTCAGGATTTTAGGATAAGGCTGAGCTGGCTTCCCTGCCCAGGCCTGTCCCTCAGGGCCAGGCTGAGCTGGGCCTCCTGATGTCCATAGCTGACAACTGCGCCACTTTAGTTCTGACCCTCAAGGGCATGGGAACAGACGTCCCTGGGGGCCAGTGCTCACCACGCCCCCCCTGCAGCCTTCTCTCCCAGCCTTCTGTTGCGGCTGGTCTAGTCCTCCTAAAGCCTTTCTGATCCCAAAAGACCCAGCGGAGAGAGGGTGGGCAGGGGTGGACATGTCAGGGCTACCCTCAGCCTCCTCTGACCCCTCCCTCCTGGGTCTGGAGGTGCCTCTGCCAGGGAGAAGAGGCTCTGGAATCAGCTGATCTGGCCGTGCTGCCTGGGAACACCCCTAGACCCTTCCTCTCCACTCCCCTGACCTAGCCAGTGGCCTAGAGATCGCCCGGAGTCAGCCTCCCACCTTTCCCAGAAACCTGACCACCGCTGTGCCCTGCTTAAGAGCCTTCCAGGCCTCTCCACTTCCCCGGCCTCACCCCCTCTGTTCACTCTGCTGTCCAGCTAGGATCTGCTGTCCAGCTGCAGCCGCTGTTCTCTACATTGCTGCTTTTGTTCATGCTGCTCCTGGGCTCCTCACGTGCTGACCCACAGTATTCAGGACCTCACGCCATGCCTCCCTCTGGAAGTTCCCTTGCTGGCCTCTGCTGGTTAGGGGTGCCTTGTGTTCTCAGGGGCAAGGGCCGTCCCTGGCTGCATTGTTTTTGTTTTAAATTTCATTTTTGTTGATAGTAAAAAAGACGCAATGTCAAGCTACCATCTTATTCACTTTAAGTAGACAGTCCAGAGCGTTAAGTACATTTACATGGTTGTATCACCGACCTAGAACGTTTTCATTTTGCAAAATGGAAACTGTATGCTAAAACAGTGCCCCACTCCTGAGCTTTCTTTGGTGCACCGTTTAAACTGGGGTTTGTTGATGTCCCCAGCAAGACCAGGGTCAGCAATCATTGCTGAGCACCCCCTGGTGCTGTGCTGCTGTCCTAGACCCCGGGACTCAGCCAGGGAACAACAAATGGCCTGTCCTCATGGGTCATACATCTTGCCGGGGGGGAGGGGGTGGAGGGGAGACAGACACAAGGGCAGCTAGGATCTGTCAGATGATAATAAATGCCACGTGGAAAGCAAGGTAGGAAGGGAGAGCTCAGCGTGCAGGGCTGGCAAGTTTCCATTTTGCAGAGGAGAGAAATTCTCGGTTGTTGGCTCTCTAGGGCAAAGAGCATTGCAGGCGAGGGAACCACATACAAAGGGCCCAGGAGGAGCGTGCCTGCTGCTTCCTGTTTGGAGCAAGGAGAAGGAACAGATGAGGTGTGGCTGGGGGCTGATCCCAGGCTCCTGAAAGTCTCTCCAAGATGCCTTTGTGTTTGGGGCAGAGGCATGACGTGATTTGACTTAGGTTTGGATAGGGTCACCTTGCTGCTGGGCTGAGAGCAGACCATGGGGCTGGGCGGTGGACACAGATCACCCCCACACGCCCTCAGCCCAGGACTCAATGCCCAGCTCTGTGGTCCGCTGGCCAGTGTGCTCCTGCTCTTAGCTCTTGCAGCTCTGCGTTGGCTGTCCAGGTGGGCCCTGGGCAGTGACAGAGCCGTTTATCAGACACAGCACTCCCTGCAGCAGGTCTTCTCATAAGGGCACTGATGCATTCATAAGGGCTGTACCTCCACCTCCTATTACCATCACATTGGAGGTTGGGATTCCAATAGTGAATTTGGCTGGGGAAACTCATTCAAGCCATTGCATAGGCTTGAACCAGAGTGGTGAATACAAACTCTCCTATTGACCCTGAGCTGCAAGGTGGCCGGTTTACCGTGCAGCAGTGAACGAACTTGAAGGCTGTTCATAGCACCTGAAAGCTGCCATATGCAGGGCTGATTAAAGCTTGCAGTGAGCGCTCACACAGTACGGAGGGAGGAAAGGCAAGTGTCCTGAGAATAGAAGGCCAAGGGACTTGAGAGTCCCCTGTGGTCACAGTGCTGTGTGCTGGGGACTGTGGGTGGTGAATAGAAGGCCATGACAGACCCGTCTGGGAAAGGGTTTCAGACCAAAGGTGGGCAAGGGCTACAATCCCCTCATCCCAGCCTGGAGGAGCACGGCCTGCGTGGAAACACACTGCTTGCCCTCTGGTGATGTCCTCTGGCTGCTCTGATCTCCCAGTAGCCCTCCGGGAGCCCTCCTGGCAGCTGGAACCACCCTGGAAGAGACTGGAATGCATGACTGCAAGTAGGTGGAGATGAACCTCCCTGAGGGCTGTGCCCTCCCTGAGGGCTGGGGCAGATGTCTGGTTGGCTGGGCAGCAGGCACTCTCCTAGGCACAGTGCTTGCAGATGTGCTCAATGTTCTGGATTAGTATGAACACGACTCCTGCATCTCCTTTCCCGATGCAGCGCTCCTGGGAGTGCTGGCTAAGTGTGGACCCGTCGCCCTTCACACCCACTCTCCACGTGGCCAGTGTCCTGAGGGCCTGTCTGGACCTGAGTCTCTTAACAGGGGCCCTCTGGCTTCGGGTTGGGTCAGCTGGAGATGCTGGCAGGTGAGCAGGAGCCAGGCAGTGAAGTGGAGGTGTTGCTCTGATGGCTGTGGACGGATGCATCCTCAGGCTCCCGGTAGCCCCAGGGCAGTGTGGCAACTCTGTGGGCTTCCCTAACCATGTCCAAGCCTTCTTAAAGCAGCCCCTCTGGGAAACTCTAAAGTTACTCGTTTGAAATTGCCATCTGTTTCCTGCCTGAGACAGGCCTTTCTACAGTTCCCGCGGTACGATGGAGACCAAGGCTGTGGTTCCGAAGCCTGCCCAAGTGTAGTGGAGCTGTGGTCATGAAGTGGTTAAACTATGATTCAGACCTGGGCCCTGGGTGTTGGTCCAGCCCGGATCCTGTGAGCTAGACTGGTTGTGGGTGAGCAGCCTCTGTGGGGGCTTCTGGAGGGCAGAGGTGAGCCACAGCGACCCGCCCCTCCCTGTGGCATTGGCTCTTGGCTCACTGCCTCCTGGATTCCTGGCTCCCAGCTTTGATATCCATAAATGTTCCCCTGGGTCAGTAGAGCCTTGCCCGGGCCAGCTGCCCACCACATTTGCTTCCCATTCCAGTCTGGCTGTGAGTGAATGAGGCTGTGAGTCGCCCCACACTTAGTGTAGGACATGAGTGTGTTGTGTTCTGTCTCCCCCAGAGTCTGAGCTCTGTGGGCTCAGGTCCTGCTCTCAATACAGTCCTGGCATCCCACTAGGGGCAGGGTGCAGGAAATCGCTCGGGGGAAGTGCCAGCGACTGGGTAACACTTGGGCGAGGCAGGGATTGCATGCCTGTAGAGGTGACAAGCACACAGACGCAGGAAGAGTGTGAACAATGTTTTGTGCACACAGGGTGTGGATGTCAGTTGTGGATGGCACTGATTGGCTTACAAAAGTGGTGCGGTTTGTCTTTGATGAAAACAGTGATTGTGCCTGGGTGCTTGCGAGGGGCAGGGTCTGGCTGGAAGCCCTGTTGCAGAGGGACACAACGCCCTCTTGTGACCACATCTGCGACTAACATGTAGGAGCCACCCCTGCCTCTACCTCCCCGCTCCGGGAGTATCTTCAGCTCCAGCCCTACTCGAGCCATGAAGGGCTCTCCCCTCTGAGGGCTGCCTTCACTGCCCTGCCCTCTGGTCTCGTGGGTGGGAGTGTGGGAGAAGGGACGATACAGTCAACTTGTATAAAACACAGCCTTTATTGACTTTAAGGAAAATGCTTGGGAATGTTCCTACCAGCACATCCACCAAAGTCCCTGGGACCAGGTCTGAGAGGCTGGCACCAGACTGAGCACATCAGCGGAGAGGAGGATGGGAGCAAAGCTGCCTGAGGTTAGGGCGGGGTGGTGTGTGGGGAGACAAGGGGTGTGGGAGGGGAGCTTCCCTGAAGGACCCGAGGACCCCTGGGTGTCATGAACAGGGCTTGGTGTCACCAGAGTCACCTTTTCCTCTCCATGGACACACACAGGCAGCCCTCCAGGCCTCCCACTGCTGGGAAAGCCCTTCCTCTCCACGCAGGAATCTGGGTGCTTCTCTCGAGGGAGTGAAGATTCTGTTTGGTCAGCTGCGTCCAACCCAGGCCAAGTGTCTCTTCCGGCAGTGTTCAGGCCTCAGCGCCTGCTGCTCTTTCTGCTTGGAAACACTTCTCATCTCTCTTAACATCATTTCTTCGGGAAGCCTTGCCTGATCACATCTCCCGGGTTAGGGAGCAGTCCCCTGTCAGCTCCCCAAGGCCCAAGGATGCAGCAGCTAATTTGCTGGTCTCACCGTCTGCCTCCTGGGGGCTGGGGGGCTGGCAGAGGGCCTGTGGTGTGACTATCTTCTGCTGGACAGCACCGTGCAAAGCACTCAGAAATCATCTGCCCCAAGCGAAATGGGGAAGCTCAGTGAATTCAAGGTGGGGACACCCAGCACCGCAGGAAACCTCCCCGCCTGTCCCCACGGGCAGCTCCGGTGTCTCTCCCTAGCCTGTGGTCAGATGGGGGTCAGGGTGGGTGCCGAGGCGTTCAGCTTGCCGTCAGGGGGGACGGGCCCCACCTCCCCAGTCTCCAAGAGCTTGTGGTGGCAGCGGCACGTGGAGGCCCGGCTGTTGGAGGAGTAGGCGCCGCGGTGGCTCGGGGACTTGTTCTTGCGCAGGACCCGCAGGGTCCGGTGGAGGATGAGGTAGCAGATCTCACAGATGGTGAGCACGATGCAGACAGCCGAGGCGCCCACCATGAAGTAGGTGAAGATCTTCTTCTCGGTGGGCCGGGCGATGTAGCAGTCTACGGTGTTGGGGCAGGGCGCCACGCTGACGCACTGCACCAGCCGGGGTATGTCAAAGCCATGCCAGAGGGTGTGCAGCAGGTACAGGAAGAGGAATTCAATGATGAGCTTGAAGATGAGGCTGAGCAGGTAGGTCCACCACAGGCCCCCGTGCTTCTTGCCCGCATTGCTGTACAGCTTGGCACACTGGTCTCCGTGCTTCTCACGGTGCCGCCGCTCGCGCTCCTCCCGGTAGGCCACGTGCAGGATGACCAGCAGCGACGGGCACGTGACGAAGATGAGCTGCAGCGCCCAGAGGCGGATGTTGGAAATGGGGAAGAAGTTGTCATAGCAGACGTTTTCGCAGCCCGGCTGCCTGATGTTGCAGTCAAAGTCCTTCTGCTCGTCCCCCCACACGCGCTCAGCGGCCACCACGTACACCAGCACGCGGAAGACGAACACCACCGACAGCCAGATGCGCCCGAAGGCCGTGGAGTACTTGTTGACCCCGCTCAGGAGGGCCTGCAGCGTCTTCCAGTCCATGGTGCCGGGCGGGGGTTCTGGGGCGTGTGCCCACCTGTGAAATGACAGGGAAAGCCACGTTAATGAAAAGGGGACTGGACTGAGCATTGGCACGAGGCCCCAGGCTCCTCTCTGAGTTCTTTTGTGGGGGGCCTTGGTTGAGAGACCATCACAAGCTGCAGCAGGACATGGGCACAGAGAGGTTACGTAACCACCGCAAAGTCAATCAGCCAGTGCTGGCCGGAAGGGAAGTGGCCTTTGCCGAGAATACTTGCCTATCTACTGAGCATTCGGCGTGAGTCTGGCACAGAGCTGAACGTTCGATGCGCAGGATCTCACTGAATTCTTACGTTCTTACCCTGTGAGGGGGATACTATCACGGCCATTTACAGATGAAGGAACTGATGATAGAACGAGACAATGGCTGGAAAATACTTGGTGTGCAGGATACGAAATCTCGAGAGGTCCAGTCTCTCATGGAAAACTGATGCTGGTCCAGGACAACAGCTCAGAGTTCTATTTGGGGGCTCAACTTCAATGGTAAGGGAAACAAAAGCAAAAATATACAAACGGTGCTACATCAGACTAGAGCTTGTGTGTATCAAAAGCCAGATGGGTCCATCTGGCAATGGAGTGGCATGGGAATTTTGCTGTTGAGCGCGGGGAGCACACACACATCCAGGTGTGAAGCTGTACTCCTGAAATGATACAGTTTTGAGGGAAAAAGGGAAATCTGACTGAGCAAGGACTGGCTGAACTGGAGCCAGGCTGCACTTCCTCTCCCCTCCTCTGGCAGCTGCCTCCCAGACCAAGTTCTTACAACTTCCCTCAATGAGGTGGGGTTGTGGACCCATCCTACAGAGGGGAAACTGGGGCTCACAGAGAAATGACCTCCCCAAGATTTCACAGCTAGTGGGTGGCAAAGTTGGGGCACCAGTTCAGTCTGGGGTGGAAGGAATGGGTAATGATTTGGCTTTTGGGAGGTCACCAGATGCAGGGAGAATCTAGAGAATTCCCTCTTGCCCCCATGCCAGGCCTGGGGGTATCCCAGCCACCCATGGGTATTAGGGCTCAGTGGGATAAGCCGTGCTTTGTTCAGGCCCCCAGATCCCACATCTCCCTCCCTGTCCTGGAGTGACTCAGAGGGTGTGGAGGGTGGGTCTGCCAGAGTACGCCTAGTCTGCAGCGGCTGTGGGTGTAAGAGCATGCGTCTCTCCACGTGCGTGTGCAGGCCTGCGCGAGCCGTGTGAGAGCCCTACGGCTGGGGCTGTGACGCTCAAGGCGCACCGTGCCTGCAAGCTCACAGCACTGCCACGTCTCAGCCCTCACTACCGCCTTCCTGGCCAGGCCACCTCACTCCTGCCCATGTTACTGCCACGACCTCTGCAGTAGCCTTTCAGAGTCCGATCCTGCACCCCAGGAGTTTATGAAGTGATGAATGCTAACTCCCTTGAAGACTCTCTTAGCTTGTTATTACGCTTAAATTAAGCCCCAGACCCTACACGCTCACCCTCCTCTCCTGCATTCTCACCTGCCTCTCTGCTCCCCACCCTGGGGGCCTCAGGGGCTTTGTAAATTTTGCTGCTGCCTGGGATACTTTTCTTCCAGAAACTTGCATGACTGGATCCTTCTCATCCTGGAGGCCTGGAGGCCTCGTTCAAACATCTTCTTAGGGGTCTCCCCAGATAACCTTGAACCTGGGAGCCCTCACAGCCACTTTGCTCCCTTCTCTTTATTTCTGTCCTCACATTTAATCACCATTTAAAATTACAGTATTTGTCATTTTTTTTTAAAAATCCTCTTACTCCTGACTAGAACAGCTCTGTCTTGCTTGCTGTTTTATTGTAGCACCCCGGGCTTGGCACAACCTAGGTGCTCAGTGAATGCTGAGTGAACGCGTGAGTGGGGCTGCAAGGAGAAGAAGGCTGCAAGGAGCGGGCAGGAGCCCCAAGGAGCAGAGTGGACAGGACCTCTGTGGAAAGGCTTCCCTGCTCTGGCCGGAGAGAAAAGGCAGCTCCTTCTCAGCATCTCATGCTGCCTGGATGTTTCTTCTCTGGAACTCCAATACAGTACGGGTGATTGGGGACGAGTCTCATCCTGGGGTCCCTCCACTTTCCCCCCATGCCATTCTTCTTAAGACTTGGCCTCTGGGGATGAGCATGGAACCACATTGGGATTCAAGCCTCTTACTAGTTGGATGGCTCCCCGGAATTCCCTAATCTTGATTCCTTGCCTTTCTGTGCAAGGGAAATAAAACATTCCCTGGCGGGCCACTCACCTGGTGAAGGTTCAGGAGGATGAAGAGCAGTAGTCCACTAGCCTCAGAGAAGAAGGAGCCTGCCCTGTGCGGCCACCTGGTGTCCGGCCATGGCCAGCATGCACTGGGGTGCAGCCCCCTTCTGGGTTACCACTTCCACCTTCCAGTCCTGTCCGCCCAGTCCACTGGACACACCCCTCCAAACGAGACTCACAGGGAAAGAATTTCCCTCCTAGCGGGGGCTGAAACTGGTGGAGCCTGTCTGCTTCCTTCAGCAGTCCCCCCAAACAAGCCAGCCCCCAGTCCTCCGCTTTTTCCCAGCCTGGGGACCAGACAGAGCCATGCCCAGCAACTCACCCCCCACCCTCTGCCCCTAGGAGAGAAGTACCCTTCCTCACCCCCTCTCCCTCCGCTTTCCCTCATTCCAGGCAGCTGGGGAGCTTTCAGACGAGGGAGGGAACCCCACGGAAACCTCAGCAGAGGAAGCCCCCACTCCTCAGCCCCGGCCCGGCCCCGAGGCGCGCGAGAGGGCAAGGGGCAGCAGCCACCGCCTCCTTTCGCTTCGCCTCCACAGTGGGCCGGCGAGGCGGGTTCCCGAAGCCCCAGCTCCGCCGGCGGGTCCCCGCGAGCGCTCAGCGCCCCGGGGGGCCACACTTACCCGCTGCGGCGCGGCCAGCGCGGGGCCCGGACCCTGCGTCCTCCGGGTCAGCAGCACAGGCGCGAGTGGCCGGAGCCGGCTCCGCATTCGGGCGAAGTGCGCGGCGCGGGCACACCCCGGGACGGCGTGTAGGAGGGAGGGTCAGGGGAGGAGCCCCGGAGACGCCTCGCGGAGGGTTCTAGACCCGCCGGGGCCACGCGTTCCCGCGGGGAGTGCGAGCGCCTCGCGCTCCTCTGAGCCTCGGTTTCTTCTTGTGGGACACGGGGCCAGCGTTGGGCAGACTCCAGTGAGATTAGGGGCACTAGACGCTCTAAACTGTGAAGTGCTGTGCCGGGGGGG